TGGGCCTTCGATTGAGTAATGACTTGAAGAGGATTTCATGAATTGTACGAGATTAAAATACCCCTATAAGGTGAGTCATATTGGGATGCTATAAAATATGGTTATGAAAGTATAGTATCGCCCCTAGGTGGATTAATCACGTGAGCCCTAGCGGCAGTGTTACATAAGAGATCAAGTTAGCAATGGTAGATGATAAATCAATATTAAGGTGAATCAACAATGGAAGGACAAAAATCACAAAGTATGAGGTAAGATTAGGCCGTCATTCTTAAGATGGAACGAATAACGATAAACGAGGAAAGAGTTGTGAGCACCTAATTTTTGACTATATTTGAATTTTTATCACCTTCTACAATGTAAATATTTTCAGAAATTTAATATATATTTTTTAGCTTTGTTACACTTATATATATATATATATATATATAGAGATAGAGACAATAGTGCACCCTTTAAAAAAATTGAAGGAAAAAGTAGCAATATCTAGAAAACAAGGGAAGAAAATTGCAGAAAGCCTTTGTTTCCCATCAAATCCACCTCACAGTGTGCATGTTGCATCATTTCTAAATTTCCTTTTACATTTTCCAAAAGTTCTTTACTAAAAATATATGCTTGTGTACTTTTAAAAGGTCAACCTTAAGGAGCAAAAAAGGAACCTTGAAGGAGCAAATCAGTATACACAAATATAGTTAGTCATACAAGAGAACTTTCTGCATTATGGAAACCAAACGTAGATATGTTAGCACTATTCGCTAGGCCTCCAATCTCATATTATATTGCACGTCATCCCACATACGTACTGAAGCTGCTACTTTCGTTCACTATTGCTGCTTCCTTGAAGTCGGAACTGAGAACTTCCTAATATGTCAGGATTGATTAAATAGCAGAGACTCGTCCACCAGATATAAGTCCAATAATGCAGAGGTTGTGCAAAACTCGGGCTAGTTTTCAATCATTTCTTCTCCACGTTTCTAATAGAGAGGAAGAAATGAGAGATTTTTGGAATTCCTCCACCTTAAATCAAGTAAGATGAAGTGCACGTTTGGCGGCTTCAAGGGTGTTCTGAAGAAGCATTGCAACTGTCATAGGACCTACACCTCCGGGCACAGGGGTTATTGCAGAAGCTATCTTGACTGCTTCGTCAAAGCAAACATCTCCAATCAAACGGTAACCATTTTCACTCTCAAGGTCCTACACCAGTTGAACATACAAATGACCTTATTGTTTCACATGTACATGAATTATTTAAATCAATTTCTTTTTTCGATAGAAAAGTTACAACTAATCCGACCTATCTTAGTTTCACTGTCATGCATTTACATGGACAAGATAAATGCAATACTAAGAAGGGTCTCCAGAAATTACCTCAATTGGGTTTATTCCAACGTCAAGAACAACTGCTCCAGGCTTTAACCAGCTACCGCGGACTAAATTAGGCACTCCAGCTGCTGCAACAAGTATATCAGCTTCACGGGTAATCATTTCTGGGTTCTCTGAATATGCATGCACAATACTTACTGTTGCATGGTGCCTCTGCAAACAATGTTCACTTTGTTTGTCATGGTGAGAAGAAAATGCATAGACTGGAATACAAAGAGATAACACATAAATGACCACCTTACTGTGGGATAGATATTTGTAAAAAGTTGGATTTATAAGAGTGCAACAAATTGACGGCTATGTGCGACAGATGTATCACCTGCAACAACAAAAAAGCAGGTAGTCCAACGATGTTGCTCCTCCCAATCACTACAGCTCTCTTGCCAGCTATTTCGACATCAGACCTGAGCAGTAACTCGATGCAGCCTTTCGGAGTGCACGGGATGAACAATGGCTCTCTACCCTGAATGGCTAAGTTCCCAATGTTTAGTGGATGAAATCCATCAACGTCTTTTTCTAAGCTTAGTACATTCAGAATCTTTCCCTCGTCAAAATGCTGTTCCAATAACTTTTGTTAGCGCCAGAAAATATATCACATACCTTTTTTTGTTTGGGGGGGGCAGCATAATGACAAAACCATATACAGACAGTAATTAAAGGGATGAAATTAGTATCTCCCCTAGATTTCATATCTAACATTGTGAATTTCAACCATTTTTATTCAACTGCGTAAACATCTTTGGGGAGAAAATGAGGATAAATGAACAGATGCTCAAGTTTAAGAATCAACTATATTTATGGAAACTGATAGTTTCATGCTTTCTTATGCAGTGTCTTTCACATAACATGGATAAGTGTATACTACTTAGTTGAAGATTTACCTGTGGCAAAGGAAGCTGCACAAGAATACCATGAATTGATGCATCCTTGTTATAATTTGATAATGCATCACAGATCTCCTCTTCTGTACAGCTCTCAGGGAGTTCAGCAAGTGAAAACCTGAACCCAACCTCATGGNAGCGGTCAAAGGTAAAATGTACAATAGGTTTAAAACAGGTAATAAATCAGATAATTAAAAAGTAAAAAAAAATTTAAAAAAAACAGATAATTAGGCCAAGTATTAATTGTTAACCGACCGTGCTAAAACCATAGAACTCGGGAGTGCCTCACACCTTCTCCCGGATTAACAGAATTCTTTACTCGGTCTTCTGTGTTCGCGGACCATAAATAGAGTCAATTTCCTTGATTTGGGATTTTAAAATAAATCGGTGACTTGGGACACCATAACTTATTCCAAGTGGCGACTCTGAATTAACTAAATAATTCCCTTTCGATTAATGTCACTTTAATTTGAAAAACTCCCTACCCCTACCCCCTCGGGAAAAAGGAGGTGTGACAAGAGTTATGGTATATTATGACCTACTTAGATGCAGTAAAGTCATGCGGATAGATAACCGGGC